CCCACCAGAGTGGACGGAGTGGAGGCTGCACAGGAGACACTGACCACGTCAGGGCTGAGGTGGGCACGTTCTGTCCCTGGGGATCCTTGGTCTTGCACCGCGGGGGGTACAGAGAGAGAGCAATAGAGAGAGAGGCATTGGCTGTAGGGGATCCCAGCCTGGCACCACGGGGGTTGGACTGAGTGTGTGGAAGCTTCTCCTGGCATTGCAGGGGGACAGGGACAGATGAACACTGTAGATAATCTCAGCCTGGTAATGCAAAGGGAAAAGTGTTGGAGTGTCTATCCTGAGAAGGAACAGAGCTGTTTGCTTGGTACTGCGGAAGCAGGAGAACAGACTCTTCTTGGTCATATGGGACTCCTGCACTTGGAGCAGGGAGCGTGGACCTCCAGACCCCTTTCTAACCCATTTTCAGGTGGCCCACGTGCCAAGCTGGCCAGGCATTCATAAGCTCTTGCTCCTCAGTCCTAGTGACTCTCTGAAATCTGCTTGACTGCCTGTCTTCTCTAACTTCTAGCTGGACACAGGAGCTGGGCAGAGCTCTCTTTGTCCAGACAGAACAGCATCTGGAGGCAGCATCATCCCCTTCCCTGCTCTCCTGAGTTGCTGTGAGATTTGATCACGGCATCAGGCCCTGGCAGTCTGCCCTGCCTGCCTGCTCACTGCCTCCCATTTGTGCTCTTCCTCCTCAACAGTATCCACACCGGGGACCGACCCTACAAATGCGCTCACCCTGGGTGTGAAAAGGCTTTCACCCAGCTTTCCAACCTGCAGGTAAGGAGCTGGGCTTGTCCTACTCACCAGTGGGGTTGGCAAACATGGCTGTCAAGTGGGAGGAGAGTCTACTTCGCTGTGGTGGAGACAGAGAAATTGGAGCAGCTGGGAGGAGAGTGAAGGAATACAGAAAAAGTTGTTGAAGCCCTGGGCAGGGGGCAATTCCTGGCTTTTGTGGCACTAGTGACCCAAAGAAATCATTTAAACAGTTGCATTGTAAACTTGACTTGAAAGCAGTGAGACCTTGGTCAAGGTCCTTCTATCTGTTCTGCAGAGTTTTCTAACTTCGCTGGGGCAAGACTTTTGCTACATGCCACACAGAATAAAATCTCGGTATCAGATTTTTTTGTTTGTTTTACAATGAAATGGAGGGTATAACAGTAGGGATTTAAGGAAGCAGAGGTGGTGTGTCCTGTTGCAGTATCCTGGAGGAGGGGAACTGTAGGGCGTGCCAAATGGCAAAGAGCTGTAAATGCCTGTGAGCAGTTAAAGAAGATCCTGCCCTGAAGGGCAGTGACAGATGCAGGGAGCAAATGTGGAATGAGGCAGAAGAGGAGAGAAGAAAAGGCAAAGACTGAGAAAGGGTTGCATGGAGACTGAGAAGATGGGGGTTGTGGAGAGTTAGGAGACTCCGCTTTTCACATGCTTAGTATGCCTGAGAAAAAAGGGCATCTGTGGGGAAGATGTGGTGGGCGGGAGGGAGAAGCTCTGTCCCCTGTGCTAGGAGCCAGATGTACCTCCCTCAGCAGATGAGGGCCTAGGGAGTTTGGGGCCTGGCTGGAAGGGGGTGTCAGTGGCAAAGCCTTCTCCAGTATTAATACTTGCTTCCTTCCCTGCACTTCCTTTCTCTTTCTTCCACCCTGCCGCCACCCCCCCAGTCCCACAGACGGCAGCACAACAAAGACAAACCTTTCAAGTGCCACAACTGCCACCGTGCGTATACGGATGCTGCCTCATTGGAGGTACACCTGGCTACACACACGGTGAAACACGCCAAGGTCTACACCTGCTCCATCTGCAGCCGGGCCTACACCTCGGTGAGTGTTTCCTGCCCCGGGGGGTAGCAGAAGTGGACACGCTTCCCAGGGAGTAGCTCCTCCAGGTCCAACAGGAGCAGCCCCCTGAGCTGTCATGTCCATCCCCGTTGGCTTTGGCTTTTGCAAATGTCGTCCCCTGCTCTCATGCCATTCTTCCCATTGCAGGAGACGTACCTGATGAAGCACATGCGGAAACACAACATCCCTGACCCACAGCAGCAGGTGGTTCAGGCGCAAGCCCAGGCCTCTCAGCAGCAGCAGCAGCACTTCCAGCCACAGGGTGGGGGGGCAGCAGGAGGCCCTTCTGGAGACACTAACCAACCCAACCCTCCCCCCCAGTGCTCCTTTGACCTGACTCCTTACAAGACTTCAGAACATCACAAGGACATCTGCCTCACTGTCAGCACCAGCGCCATCCAAGTGGAGCACCTCTCCAGCTCCTAGAGACACCTCAACCCAGGGAGCAGAAAGCCTCTTGTGCATAGCCTGTGCCCAGGGGCACTGCTTGTGCAGCGGCCCTCCTCGTGCAACAGTCTCCAGCCTCTCCTCCTGCAACAGCCTCTTCTGGCCATGTAACCCGGTTCATGGCAGCCCCTTGAACAACAGCCTGTCTCAAGGGGGTGCTCCTTCTGTGCAACAGCCTGCCTGGTAGGAGGATGCTTCCTTGTGCAAGAGCCCCTTTCCTGTGCTGGGATCACTTCCTCATGCAAGAGCCCCTCCTTTCAAACCCAAAGAAAGGCCCCCATTTTGCCTTCTCTCTCACTGTAGGATGCGTATGAAGGGGGGGTGCGTGTCGAGACATGCATGGTGGATGGGATGGAGAGACGGTCCTTGTACGTACAGGGGCTCGGACACGTTTTCAGCAGGCCACAGAAGAATGTGGCAAGGTTCACAGCTGGATGGGGTTCTTTGAGGATTTCCTTGAGTGTCTAAGAGAGAAATATCCATTCCTGTCCCTCCTGCTTGTGAAAGGGAGGAGGGGTTGCTCGTCCTGCCCCAAGGACTGGTGGGGAGAAACCTCCTTCTCCCCAGGGGAAGGTGAGACCAGTGCTGGGGAGGGAGAAGTGAGGCATGTTCTCTGGGCTGGACAGGTGCCTACACTGCCTGAGGGCTGTGGAGTATTGCACTCTCTCCTCTCCTGGTGGAGAGCAATAGAGAGGAGTTTGTCTGAACTGGCTGCTGCCTCTCTCAGCTGTCTGAGCAGCACGATGGCCAAGGTCCCGTAGGAATGTGGGTTCCTGCTCATTGCTCTTCCTGCCTGTTGTGGATGATGTCCTAGCAGCTTGTACTCCTCCTCTTCCTCCTGCTTCCCCCCACCTCCTCAGAAAAGCCTGCAGGCATCAACAACAAACCAAAAAGCAACTGGAGGGAGGGTAAGAGACTGCCAAAATAATCATCACCCTTCTCTCTACTCCCTTTCCTGAAAGGCGGAACAACAGCAGTTCTGACTCACACACGCCTGTCCTGCTCCCAGTTTCCCAAAGGGAAGGAGGAGGAGGAATAGACCATTCTTTTCAAGGAGCCGGCAGGAGGCAGGAAAAGGCTAGCTTCTCCTGCTCACCTCCCATCAGAATGCTCTCCCAGGCTCTCTCTTGCCAAGACGGGCTGGACTCACATGGCAGTGGTGGCCTCTTCTGGACCCTGGTCATGGGAGAGAATCCCCAAAAGGTGGACAGTGGAGAGAAGGGGATGAAGATCCCCCACAGAGAGACCAATCTAATGAGAAGGGGGAGCCAACAAGAATAAACTGAAGGCCCCTTGAATTTATATATATATAAATATATATAAATATCTATTCCCCACCCCTGGCCCGCTCTGTCCTTGCTGTAACTGTTTCTATCTCTGTGTTTATAAAACGCATTATCCTGGCGAATTTTTATTTTCAATCTTTGTTTGTTTTTCCCTTTCTCTTGGTCTTCAGTTCTCCTTCCCTTTTTTTTTTTAATTGGTCCACATGACTACTAGTCTTGTGTGTCACCTGTTCGTTTCTTTGGATCATGGAGGCTGACTCGGAAGAGAATGAGAAGGCAAGGGAAAAAGCATGTGTTGTTGGGATTTAAAATCAATCACCCACCCAAAGCCTATAGAATCCCAGACTTCTGTATGAACAATCAATAGGGGCTTTTATTTTTTTTTAAACCACCGTGTTAGAAATAAATTGGTGTAAAAGGCTCCTTGAAGGTGCTGCTGTGAGCACCCTGCCCCTGTGGTGTGTGTTCCTTCCGCCTGCACCAGACCACTACATGAGCATCTTGCTGCTGTGAGTCCCAAGTGGCTGTGCGGGTGGACACGAGAGTAGCACATCCCTGCCTTTGGGCAGACTTGCGGTTCGCACAAGGAAAGCGAGAAGCTCTGCCCTCTGTGTTCTGCACCTGTGGAGCCTGTGGCAGAAACCTTTTTCTCTGCATTTAGTCACGGGGGTTGGCTGCGAGCATTTGGAGTGTTTTATGATCCATAGGTTAGCCTAGAAGAAGCTGTCTTGACTCCTGCATTTCACAGGTCACATTTCAACCCATTTATCCTGTATTGAGCCCCAAGAACTAATGTGTATTTGAAGTATGTCTTGACAAAATGCATTGGCTTGATTTTGAGGCAATGGGACACAGAATCCTTTCCATTGGTAGTCTGTGGCAAGGGCTTTGTGTTCTCGCTATTTAAATATTTAAGCCTGATTTCTCTTTTGGATCTGTTTGGCTTTGGCTTCCAGGTACTAGTTCTGGATATGTTCATCCCACTGATTCAGAGAGCCTTAGAGCACAGTGGGGCTTTTTCCCCTGGACTGGTATTTAAACACTGTAATATCACTTCTCAGTCCACTTCTTGACAAGCTAAATAGATTGAATTCCTTAAATCTTCCACGTAAGGGATTTCCTCCAGCCCATAAATTATTCTTGTCTTTTCTTTCTATATCTTGTTGAATTTTTCAGTATCTTGTTAAAGCATTCATTTTGGGATTGAGCGTTCAAGCCCCATTGCCATAGACAAGGTCCCCCTGCCCTTTGCCTTAAGTCTGCAGAGGATTGTGTTTGCCCTTTTCTCGCAGCATTATACAGGAGCTCACATTAGCTGCTTGTCTGGTGTGACCGTCTAGATCAGCTGAAGTCTCGGCTTTCCGTGATCGTGTTTTCCCCCTTTCTACAGGTATGGTCTGAGTTCTTATTTCCTAGATACCTCATATGAGGCTGTATCGAAGTCCAGTTTGTGTGAATGGACCTGGCTTACTGATTGATGGTCCAGGTTATTCGCCACTTTCCCAGTTTTGTTACCCACAAACTGTATCAGTTGTTATTTTTTTACTTTGGGATCCAGGTTGAAAATTGCAATCTTGCATCTGACCTACACTAACTTGAAAAGCATCATTCAGTGCAACTTTTTATTAGCTTCTTTTTGAGACTTGCAAGCTAGGCATTAATCCTCTTAGTATGTGATTATGTACAGTAAATCTTTTTGACTTATGGTGCTAGGTCAATGCCTTACAAAAATCTAAGTATGTTGCACCTATGCAGTCCCCTTTGTTAAACCAAATGTATACTTATGTCATCTAAGAATTAAATTAAGGTGTGGGTGGGTTTTTTTTTCTACAAAATCTATATTTCATAAAACCTTTGGATTACAGGTTTTATTTTTCATTAATTAATTCTTCATCTCAATAGCTTTTCCATAATTTTGCCAGCGAGTCATTTCATTTGCCTTTTGGGAATACTCTCATGAATGTCTTACAGTATTTCTCTAATATCCCAAGGTTGTTTAAAATCTGAATCAATGGGCTACAGAGCTTGTTAGTGAACTCTTTCAGGACTCCTGTTTCTTTGCTGACTTAAAAATATACATCCCTACTAGTTGTTATCTAATCTCCCACTTTGATACTAAGGTACTGGATAGAAGTTGCTATTTTCGTATTTACCACATCCTGTTTCTTTCTGAATATGGAATTGGAAATGTTTGTTGACTGATTTTTCCTGTTCTGTGTCACTAGCATTTTCACCATTTTTATCTAGCATGTATCAGTACTATTAGTAAGATTTCTTTGTTTATTTTTTATTTAAAGCAAGGAATGAAACATCCAAATTCCCTTTCCTATTACTGGTAGTTTTGCTAGCCACAAAGTTTTCCTTACCAGTTTTATCTATTTTATAATGTCTAATTTATGTCAGTTGCTGCCTGGCCTTCCCCTTTTCTGTGTGTTACGTTTCAGGGCTTTTCTTAAATTGTTTCTTTTTGCTCACAGAATCCAGGATGAGCTTTTACCAAAAGTTTTCCTCTTTCTTGGTTGTGGAATAAGGGCATTTTGGCCACATAATAGATTTTTTCTTACAGCAGTTTCATTCACATTTTTCTGTCTTGTTTCTTTTTTTCTCATGGACAACTCAGTTTATAGTTTTGCTCACCTTGGAAATTAACACAGACTCAGCACAGGTTTATTACTGCTTGTAGCTCTCCTCTGCTTGTCCATATTCCATATGAACAGGACAAAATTTGCCAGTTTCACTCAAGTTATTGCCTTGTATGCATCACCTTGAAGTCTGAAAAATTGACTTGTTTTGGGTGCAGTGTCCTGTATTAAGCTACAGTTTTAGGAGTTGGAAAGATGTTTTGCTGACCAGTTGAATTCCCTGGGGATTGTCTCACAAGTTAAAATTCCTCGCAGTGGTTTTTCATTTTATATGTTCAAGGTGCTTGAAATCGCCTTTCCTGGTCCCTGGTTTGATGTGTTGTGTTCTGCTATCCTTCCCCTTCTTGGAATCTGTTACGTAGCATGCAGATCCATATGTATTTAAGGCTGTACAATTCCTGTGTCATCAGTTATTTCAAAGGTATTCCTGCCTGTGTCTGCACAGTTTGCTGCTGCTCCTGTAGCTTTTACTGTCGCCCAGGAAGAAACTAATGCTTTTTTACTAAGGGACTTTCCCATCAATTTTCAGAAATGCCACTTTATTCCAGGTCTCTTTGTTTTTTTCTCATCAAGGAGAATTTCCTCTTTCTCTGTTCACTCAGAATCCTGTTGCTGGTGTAGAAATAATTGAGGATACCGTACTCTCATTATCTTTGTAATTTATTTGGGTTTGGATTAGGTCGTCTTCTTTGGATTCCCAAGGCTGTTTAACATATTCAAGGTGCTTCAAGTGGTTTAAAAAGTATAGTTGCTACCTGTGGGATGCAAAATGTAACATCTATACAAAATTCTTCCCTGTTGGAGATGAAGCCTCGGGTTCCACAGTCTGCAGCTTTTCAGCTTTGTGCACTCAAGCCAACAACAGTTCAGTTATTTAACTCGCACTCACAAGAGTGGAAGATTCTCTAAAAAGATCCTGGGGTTCTTCCTCTTCAGCTCCCTGAATTCTTTGACCTTGCCTTTTCTTTGTGATGCCAATCCATTTGTTTCTGTACATCTGTACCCAAGAAGACTTGACAATGACTCTCGAGTTCTTTATTAGATTGCATCTTGTATGTTTGCTGGAAGGTGGTGGAACTTTTTATTCTTGTCTATACCAAATCAATTGTCTTTTCTTACCTGGATTTTGCAAATTATCGTTGCTGTAAAAGGAAACATCATGTAGGCTGGAAATAATTTAGAAAAGTCACCCACAAACAGTAACTGAATCTCAGCCGTGACTAATGATAGTATTCCTGGTCTAGAATTCAGTTAAATCTTCAAGAAAGATTTAAGACTTTCATAATTAAAACATAGTCCTTATGTTTAATCAGCCATGTCCCTTATTAGAGTTTTTTGTTGGTTATCACTGCCATTAAAACTGCCATTCTATTTTACTACTTTTTTTTAATCCATAGGGTCTTGTCATGCCTTTTTTTCAGTACATTGAAGTCTTCTGCTATACATCTTTTTTTCTTTTGTAATGAATTACAGACCACAATCAAGTCACTGTATTCATCTTTCCAGACAGCTAAATTAAATTGAGCTGGCTTAGGTGTCTCACACTAAGGTTTGGCTCCATCATGTAGTACCTATATATGGCCTTTTTCTTCCTTTATGAATGACCAGGCTGTGTAGTGTTCAAAGTCTTGCTACGTTAGGCCTAGACGGTTATCTTGAGCCACCTAATTTACATTGCCATAAAAGGACATGTAGTTCTCTTAATCAGATCTTTTTCTTTAAATTAAAACAAATAGCATTATGTTTCTTTTCTTAGCTGAGTGCAACCCGTATCAATTACACTGTGATTTTGCCAAATCAGTGTTAGGTTAACTGGCTTACAGCAACCTGGATGATCCCATTTACTTTTCAAATACTTTTTAAGTAAAAGTATTTGCTGGTCTTGTGGAACACGTTCAGAGCTACAAATTTGTTTGGAAAAGAAAGCCCATTGCTTCCATCTGCTTGCCAGATAATTATTTTAAAATTATTGATTGTGAGTTTCTAGCTATGCAATTTCTAGGATGTTTTATTTAATGGGTAGAACTAAACGTCTTCCTAAATCTCATTGGCAATAGGTGATATTTTGTTACTTCGTAGATTTGTCTACATCATCCGACTTTCTTCCTAATATAGAATATGAGATTCTGCCTGTCTTCTATATTTTTATTGATTATTTTATCATCTTTTTATCAACTAAAGGATATATAACGTTTAGGATTTTCTTCTAATATTTTGCAGGTAATGTACCCGAAAGCTGCCCAAGTTTACTAGTGCAGTTTCAGAACACAGAATGAAATTGCTCTGTATATTTCCTTAACTACAAGATAGGTACCTGTTCAATCGTCATTTCAGGTACAACAGATTAAATTTGTGTGCATGGTTTCTTGTTTCTGTATAGTAGAACACCAAAGTATTAGAGAGATGTAGTAACTTGGTCCAACAAACATTTCGATTTCATGTAGTGTCTGTGTAATGAATGGAAAAAAAAAACTGCAAGAAAAGAAATCATGACACCAAAGAACTAGAGTCTATGCCTAGTTTTGCTATTGAATTAGGATACGGTTTTGGAACATGGACACAGCTATAATCTGGGGCCTCTGGCATCCTCTTTCATTAACCACCTTGGGGGCAAGTACTGCAGATCAGTTGTTTTTTGCAAGAATGAAGTGTGGGTACATCTAGCCTTTTCTGAAGAGAAGGGAATGCAGAGCAGGGACCTCTGAACTGAGAATGTTAAAAGAGTGAGAATTGCTGAATGTGTACCTCTACAGCAAAAAGGGAAGCAAACAAGACTGAAGTTGTGGGCGTCCTGCTGGGGTGTGCATAAGGATCCGTCTCAAGCACTGGCCTTCACCTTGTGGTCCTTCGAAAACGTTTATGAGGTCTGTAAGGTAACTGAAAAGCTGCAGGCTTAAATTTGGTATGCAGATGTTTACATTTCCAAGGGGAAATACATAGACATCTGTAGATCAATAAAGGTTGAGAACCACTACTCTAGACTACTTCAGTAGGCTGTGTAGCTTCCCTTTGTGAGATACATAGGCCTGGGCAGTACACCCATTCCTCAGTCAGGTCCTTCATCTAACTAGGAGTATTTACCAGTTTTAAAAATAGGATGTAATTGAAGCAGCAAACTCCAGGGTGGGGGGTAGGTGTGTGATAACCATTGGGGTTAGCGTATGTGGCTTTGTTATTACAATAGTTACCTGCTTATCAATATATGAGGCTGGGTGGGGGGTAGACATAAATGGTCATGTACCTCTACGGCATATTCCAGTTGGGGAAGCGTCTTCCTGTGAAATCATCTGTGCCCATGCTAGGCCTTTCACTTGCAGAAGTATTTACTCTGAAAAATATCACACCTCATCAAATAACTACTGTGGTAACATTCCATCTGTGGACAAGGGTGCTTCTGGACCCCTGAGCAATGCAGTTCTCCATGAACCTTGGCACCTTGGCCTTCTAAAGAAAGCAAAAATAGAGACACAGCAAACTTTTCTAGATTCAGAGCTCAGGAACTAGTTTTTGCTGGACTGGAAGAGTTTATACAGCTGAGAACACACAGGTACAATAAACTGCCTCTCACCTTTGTTTTCCAACTTCACAGTGGCAGTTAATGAAGTTAAAGATACATTTGTACACTCATACTAAGGTTTACCATTTAGATTTTAGGCAAGTGTCTCTTCTTTTCCATGTCTTTTGTATCAGCGGTGGCAACAAGGCCAGAAGCAGCTTGTCTTTCCATTTCAGTGGTCGAGTATTTTGACATCTCCCTAGCCTTGGCTTGGAGGATAGGATCTGGATTCCCAGCTGGTCTCTTAACCAAACTGACGATGTCAAAGAATGCCTGTTTCTCTGTGTCAGCTCCATTCAGCCTGGTAGCTCCAAGCAAGATGCATTTTGGGGATTCTAGTTTAGCACTGCGACAGGGTAGGGAGCAGATTTTTTTTTCTGTAACGGGCACATCCTTCTCCTTAATCAAGAGCATAAGGCAATTTATACAAGAATTTTGAAGTACTTTAAAAACAAAGTGAGGCTTAACAATAACGTTCATCTAACTGAAGCCAGCTGCTTCACACAGGAACTGAAAAAAAAATGTTTTGAATAATTAAAAATGTGTCATAAATAAATGACTACATGAATAGGAGTGGAAAGCACTGCATCTTCAGAATACAGTGCATCTCTGAATTAACCAAATAGTGTAACAGCAAGATGGTTGACAGTTCAAACACCTGCAATTCACTTTATAACAGCCTCTTGGTCTTGCACTGCAGGCTGCTGGAAGACTTAATCCCAGTATATTGATATAAATAAAGGAATGGTGCCTTGTAAGGTCTTTGGGAGAAAAGAGGAGAAACAAGTCTGGTCACTTCTCAGGGCCAGAATCTAGTAGCAAGCAGTGATGAGCAATGACTGCCACTTATACAGTGTATCGGGGGAAAAAAACAACATAGGTGAGGGGGCAGGAGAAACAGGTGAAAGATTAGCATTTGCCAAACAAACCCAGTGCCTCCTGAACAGTACAGGATGCTAAATTCATGCTGATCTCTTGAGACAATAATCCTGAATTCTAAGAACCAGAAGTAGTAAGATAATTTTGCCTCAGATCCTTTGTAATCTCATGTGTGACCTCACCCTCTTGACCTAGCACAGTATACCATACCATGGCATGTGCA